ATTTAAATATTTATAACAGTAATTTAAAAATTGAATTGTAATAATGTATTATCTTGTTAATTCTAGCTAGTTGATATCATAGCAAATATATACATGGCAACTACGGTATACTTCACTGATCAAAACGCGCTAAAGGGTACGTTGATAAATACATTGGTTGTGGCGCAACCGACTCTTTTCCTAGGGGTGCCTAGAGTATGGGAGAAAATACAAGAGAAAATGCAAGAGAAAGCGCGTAGCAACGGCGCGATAAAAATCTGGATTGCTAAATGGGCAAAAGCGCAAGGACTTCATTATTACACGAATAAACTAAACGGTGTAGATTATAAACACTGGGGCTATATCTTTGCGAAATGGCTTGTTTTTAATAAAGTAAAGACAGCATTAGGTCTAAATAAATGTCGAGTATACGTTACTGCAGCAGCACCCATAAATATAGATGTTAAAAGATATTTCATGAGTTTAGATATGCCTCTAGTAGAGGCTTATGGAATGTCCGAAAGTGGTGGTGCTCATACACTAATCAATTATAAAGAATACAGGTAAATTGTATCTTCTTTTATTCTTTTTATTTATTATGAATTTATTGAATTCTTAGTACAAATTCGTTTTTAATTTATTATTTAATAAATTAAAATTATGTTATTTATAATAAGATTTTTCATTCATTTTTCATTAGTTTGAATGGTGTAGGACACCCTTTACCTGGAACATATACAAAATTAGACAATATAGATGAACATGGTGAAGGAGAGGTTTGTATGGGTGGACGACATATATTTATGGGTTATTTAAATGATCGAGAGAAAACCGCAGAAACTAAAGATAAAAATGGCTGGTTACACAGTGGTGATCTTGGCAAATTTGATTCCAAAGGAATTTTGCATATTACTGGTAAGCATTGCTTTTTGCCTATTGCCACATATTAATACTTATTATGTAATAATGTTTTGTATGTGTTTTAAAATTAATTTACATACATATTTTCAGTAAATATGATAATAAACATATTTTCAGTAAATATGATAATACTTTCTTATACATCCGCAGGTAGAATAAAAGAACTTATAATAACAAGTGGAGGTGAAAACGTTGCACCATACAATATAGAGCAAGCGATTTTGTCGGAATTACCATATTTAAGTAATGTCATGGTAGTTGGAGATAGAAGAAAATACTTAATAGTCCTTGTCACGCTTAAGGTACCATACAAAAATACAAAAAAACATTCAAATGCATATTAAACTTTTGAATACATATTTGTTTTGTATGTTTCTCCTTTCAGAGCGATATGAATGAAAATACTGGTGAACCTTTAGATACGCTAAACCCAGATGTATTAAAATGGGCAAAATCTATTGGTAGTCATGCCACAACTGTTAAAGAAATCATAAATACTCGTGATCCACTCGTAAGTTTCAGATATTTTAGAAAAGATTTACAATTAGTAATATCATTTTGTATATACTGTATAAAAACAAAAATATTTATTCTTCAATTGAGTCAAAACTAAACAGACAATCTTTAAATATTGCAAAATGCTATTATTAAAATATTTCTTGCTCTTTTAGATATATGATGAAATCAGCAAAGCAATTACTAGAGCAAATATGCAAGCTATAAGTAATGCTCAAAAAGTCCAAAAATTTGAAATTCTTCCTCATGACTTTTCAATTCCAACTGGTGAATTAGGACCTACATTAAAACTCAGAAAGAACATAGTTTTAAAGAAATATGCTGATCTGATAGATAAAATGTATCAATGAAATTATATATTAATATCATAAAGAGCGTGCTTTATTAAAAAAATGGGTTTTCATCATCATTAATTATGAAATATATAAGAATATAATAAGTTTATATCAGTACTATAGTATGTAAAATATTCCATATGTCATAAAAATGAGACATTTTTTAACATATTTTAATTAACTTCCTAGGTTAATTAAAAAACAATTACATCGATATAAGTCTCTCTTATACAGAGATATATAGATATTTATAAATATTTTATATATGTATACATTTTTTTGAGGGTTATATATCTTGTACTATAAAAAACATAGAAAGTAATCATAATAATCTTAGTGATTCATATATCTAAGATACTTTTATTTTTTAATTATATTGTTATACACAAATAAAATATTATATAGATTATATGCTTTTCATATAAATATCATATAAATAGGATTTCAAAAAGTATTAAAAAAAAAATCATGATTTCGAAAATATCGAAATATATGATCGAAAATATAATCTCTTTTATTATTTCTCCAATTCTCCAATTCTTCTTATATTTTTTTTCCATATTTTTTTTTCCAATTTCTCTTATAATTTATAAATTATGATATTTAAAACTATTAAATCAAACAATTTTTAATAATTTATTTAATAATTAATCATATGTTATTGTAGTGAAAAATTATGTAATGGAAAGGTCAAAATAAATGATAGAAGATTTTATACTTGCAATATATTACTAAATGTAGTTTACAATAAACAAAACTGTAGTTACGTTTAAAATTATTATGTTCATATTACAGATTTTTACAGTAAATATGATTTTTTTATATAAGAAAATAGTCTTACTAAGAGTGCATCACAGCAGCTTTGAAAATGCAGATCTGTATATCTTCTTACTCTCAATCTTACTATCATGCATAATATAGATTATATGTAAATTATCATGATACATCACCAAGATAAATTCTCTTGTTGTTACACATTTATCATTACTACTTATGTACTTTTCTCGTATCCTGAATATAAGTTTTTACATATGTGCACTTAGAATGCATATTTATTGCTGGTTAATAATATAATCTGTGCAATCTTCTTATCCTTAATTCTTTACTGTAAATCAAATAAAATTAATCTCCAAAATGAAATTATCTGAATAACAGACAATTAAGAAGAACATAATGTCAAGCTGGATACTAGTTTACTTGCATATATTATAAAACTTATATAGCACTGTGGCACATACGTATAGAACACTTGTTTCATTACAGTTGCTATTCTGAGAATAAACAGTTAAAAAATAGTTAGTCTTCTAAAGAAATTGATACTGTATTTATTTTAAAAAATTTTCAAGAATAAAATTATTTCAAACTCTAATTATTTATGATTGTATCATGTTACTCCAGCATCCAAATTAAGGGCTAAACAAAATATATTTTAAAAAATGACAGAAATTACTTAGGAAGATGTTGTTGATGTATTGAATTTTTGTTGAATAATAGATGTTTTTCGCTGAGGTACTGTTTCTGGTGTTGGTATAGCGTCTCCTGTTGGTAGAACACCAGCTGGCTTTGGCTTAGCTGCAGATTTTTGTTTTGCCATTTGATAATCCCCAGAATCGAAATATTTTTGCTAAAAAATTCAAATTATTAATCATTTGAATAAACAATGGAAATAAAAGATTTAGAAGAAATATATAATTATCTATATATAATACCGAAATTCTAAAACAAAAATTAATAGATTTATATATTTACCCCTTTAGCTAGTCTTTTCTGCAAAAATGCAGAATGACCACCAAACGGTCGACCGGCTGCATTTGGGAACTTTGCTTTTAATTTTGCTTCTTCCAATTTTTCTATATCGCTTGACGACAACTAGAATAAAATCTTCAATGAAGGTCCATTTATATGTAATTGTGTCTAGTTATATGAATGAATAGTTTCATAAAAATAAAACTTTTATAAAAAATTATTTCTAGTGCATTTTCTCAATCTTGCACTGAAATTCATATTAATATATATGACACTCATCTATCATTATTGGACAATTCTAACATTTATGTTTAGAACATCACATAAGTTTCAAATAGAAACGCAAACGCTATTTCTAAATGTATTTCACATTTACGCATAATAATGCAGTGCAAAATAGGGAGTCGCTCCAATGTAATACATTAATTACAAATGATTTTCTACGGAGCAACAATTTTGTAATAATGAAACAAAATATTGTCATTCTCTTTGACAATTTCACGTTGATGATAAACTCATCAAACGATCGAACGTTCGAAATTTAATTTACAATAAGCTACGATGTTGGTTAAATAATTTTATCCCTCGATTCAAATTTTATTCGTTTTCCACTTGGATTTCCTTGAATTTCGCGTCTTACCTCTGCAGTCGGGCTTTGCTCGTTCGTCTGATCGTCGCTCATCTTCGAAAATTTTGAAACGCCTCTCAGCGACCGTCCGCCTGACAACCAGTTACCTTCCCAATACTAATTTCGACACTAATGCATATAACGTACATAAGCTAAGTGAGCGGCGCAATAGCGGCAGCGTCTCTCAATCGTCCTCCGTAGACGGGCGAGCCGTGTCTCCTCCAGCTATGTCCTCCAGCCAACAAGGTGGACGCGTGCACCGGTGGACTGCGGGCGACGATTGTCAACGAGACTGTTTTCATACACGAACGGCAAAAACATGCGACGGCGTCACACGCGGGACCATATGTACCCGGGTGACCGTTACCGACGTCCGCACGGCGCGTTTCCATGTGCGAATCACAATTCGCGTCCACGTCAATCTCCAACCGACGTCCGTTAATTTCAATCTCGACTCAATCCTCATCTTTTTCTAATTTTTACACTAAAAATAGATAAAAAGTAAGTAGAAACCGAGATTCAAGTAATACATTAATGCAAATTAACTTTAGTCTCGATTTAATTTATATCCTTCATCTTCTTTTTAATTAATAAAATAAAGAATAAATTATTTAGATTTGTTCTTTAGAACGAGGATTAAAATTAAGGGTAAAAATGGATATAAAAATTTAACGGTATAATAATGATTGATTCTTATCCCTGGTTCTTTAGATGTAAATGTCATAAATCAATTATATTAAAGAATCTAACGACAGTTGAAAAACCGCTTTTTTTTCCATTGAACGTAGCCATTGAGTTTCTCGTCTTGAGCTTTGATCAGTGTGCGACAATGGCGCCAGCTGATCTTTGATTCGGTTCCGCTGCCACTTTCAAAGGGAATGTGATGGAACGTGACTCGTCGTACATTCACATGGTACTTGCGGCAGAACGACACGACGATCCTAAAGTATTCCAAAACGCTGACGGAGGAAATAACGCGCGATGAATACGTTATTTCATACGAAAACAATGATCGCCGGTCACGGTGGAGTTATTACTCGACGTACGTGTCATCGTATATTACTTCACGTCCTATTATAGATCAGCACAATTTCATCCGATAACCTGTAATACTCGTACTTTATAGAGATAATGCTTCCGTTACATTTATGTAACGATAGATAATAATACACCGTTAAATTGACGATTAATATTTCTGTGTCGATGTCTTCAAATTTCTTTGTTTAATATTTTATCACAATATAAGTTCGCTTAAGGAAAAAAAAAAATGACGTAAACATTGGTTATATTAAATTATATACTCTAGGTTTTGATATATATCAAAGAGCATGTCATACCTTTCCATTTTAATTCTTTTTTTTCATTCAACACATTCCATGCCACAACAATTTTATGTGATTTCTCACTCATGCCATGTAGATAACCAGTGTCTCACATGGTGCTAATTATATTTGATAAATAAATTGTATTTCATAACAATGAAAAAACTATATTATAAAAAAAAGGTTTAATAATACTAATATTGCAATACATATATTATGTATTGATTATGTATAAAATGATATTGGGAAATATTTCATAATTTTATGTCTCTTTATGTAAATAAAGTATCAAACAGCCTAAATGAAAAATCCAAGTGGGTCACTGATGATTCACAGGGCATATTAACATATTAATAAGAAAAGCAAAATTGTGTTTATTATTCTTAAAAGTAAGACATTTGTGTTTTCTTTGAAATAAACTAGGTTAATGATTTTACTCTGTATTTCATTAAATAATTAAAACTTTCTGATTGTATTTCAGGATACTCCCCATTTAAATTATGGTACAACACCAATCATATAATGGGTGGCATAGCTCTAGTTTATACAGATTTGAGAGATCCGAGAAAATTATTGTTAGAGCCGACAGTGTCACCGGCATATATTAATAATAAAAGTATGGCATGTCTACAAATTCGTACATTTTATATAACTCCAAATTGGAAGAGTCAAGAGCCATCATCTAAGATTGAAGAAACAGTTAAGAATATTAAAGAGGAGAAAGAACTTAAAGATAAGATGGTAGAATATGTTTCAAAAGATAGTGACCAAGCAAAAAAAGCTGTTGCTAAAGTTTCGATATGGCAAAAAATCAAAAGCGAAATATTGCATTATTATCATGGATTCCGCTTGTTAGGACTTGATATGAAAGTATCAGCAAAGTTAATATGGAGAATTTTGCATGGAAAGGAGCTTAGTAGAAGGGAGCATCGTTTGGTATGTTAAGCATAATAATTATTGTATGCCACATTAATATCAAGATATTTATATTAATCTATAATTAATCATTTATTCTAACAGTTAATAAAAACGACTGGAGATATGTTCAGATTGATTCCTTTTTCTGTTTTTATTATTGTTCCATTTATGGAATTTTTATTACCAGTGGCAATTAAGTTATTCCCTGGCATGTTACCTTCTACTTTCCAAACCGCAACTGAAAAGGAAGATAAACTTAAGCAGGCTTTGAAAGTAAGAGGACCTCAAATTTAAATTTACTATGTTAACATCATACTTTAATAAAAATTTCATCACATATTGTGATATATATATTTTTTAAACAGGTTAAGATAGAAATGGCAAAATTTTTACAAAAAACATTGGACGAAATGGCATTGCAATCATCAGATCACAAATCTGAGAAAGCTAAAGAATTTGCAGAATTTTTTTATAAAGTACGAACAACCGGCACTGTTGCAACTAATGAAGAAATCATGAAGTTTAGCAAAGTTTTTGAAGATGAAATTACTTTAGACTCTCTTTCACGACCACAACTAATTGCGTTATGTCGTGTGTTAGATGTACAAACTCTTGGGACTACCAATTTCTTACGGTTTCTACTTAGAATGAGACTGAGAAGTCTTACTGCAGATGACAAAGTATATATTCAACACAATATATTTTTCTTAATCTTTTTTGTAAAATTCTGTTCTTTAAATTTTTTATTAAAATATTAAATCTTTTTCTCATTAGCTAATTGAAAAAGAAGGAGTTGATACTCTGACAAGAAACGAATTGCAACAAGCTTGTAGAGCACGTGGTATGCGTGCTTATGGATTGCCGGAGAGTAGGTTGAGGGAACAATTGTCGCAGTGGTTAGATTTGAGTTTAAATAAAAAAGTACCGCCTTCCTTACTACTGCTCTCACGAGCGCTTATGATACCAGAGACGATATCTATGCCAGATAAATTAAAGGCGACTATTTCGGCTTTACCTGATGCGGTTGTGGCTCGTACAAAAGGTGCTATTGGAGAGAAAGAGGGTAAAGTGGATCATAGAACCAATATCGAAATTATAAAAATGGAAGAACGCAAGATCGAAGAAGAGAGGAAAGAAAAGAAAGAAAGCGAACCAGAACCAACCGTTTTGGAATCCAGTACTAAAGTTGATGAAATTACTACTACAGATGTCAAAGTTTTGGAACAAGCTCTGGATTCAATTGGCAAAGTTAGTAAATAATATTTAAAATGTACACACACGTAATTCTATAACATTTATATTTAATTTTCAATATCAATATATTATATTAATATTTTTAGGATAATAAAAATATGGCTGTAGAAAAAGAGGAAATTAAGGAACTTAAAGAAGAAATGGCGGAATATCAAGAAGATATTAAGGAATTGTATCAAATTAAAGCAGAAGCAAAAGGTCAAGCAGATATAGAAAATATTAAAGTATCAAAAGGTGCTAATAGACTATTCAAGAAGGTAAATAAAATGATTTCGAAAATGGATGCTGTTTTGTTGGAGCTCGAACAATCTGAGAAAAAAGTTAAACAAAGAATCGAATCATCGGCTCTTGAGAAACAGGATACTAAAGACGTTGAAGAATTAGTTAAAATAGACGAGTTGATTGCAGCCATTAAGCAAATCCAAAGTGTGCCCGATCAACATCGTTTAAAACGCATAGCAGAAATTTTAGGAAAAATTGATGACGATCATGATGGTGCAATAAAAATAGAAGATGTCCTAAAAGTATAATACAGATTATATATGTTTATTAATTGCAATAAGCATTTAAATAAATCTAATTATATAATATAAATTTTTACAGGTTGTAGAATTAATAGGTAAGGAAGATGTTAAATTAAGCAAAGAACAAATGGATGAATTGATAGATTTAATGGATAAAGAAGAAATATTAGAAGTAGAAGAACAAATACAAAAATCGTTGGAAAAGGATTCCAAGACATCCGAGGCGGAAGAGAATATGAAAGCTACAAATAAATCTACAGTTCCAGCTACTCCGGTAACAACTGAGTCAGGATTTGGGAAAGAGGAATTAGTAGATGATGCCATCAGAGAATCGAACAAATCTTATGCAAGTCCACCTATCGAAGAAGATAAGCAGAAATCAGCTGCCGTTCTTAAAAGTAATTCCAAATCCGACGAGGTTAAAAATCCTTCAATTACATCAGGTGTTTCAACAGTGAAAAAGGCAGAAGGTTCTAAACAACTGTGATTAGCACACAATGAAGTATACAAGTTTACACAATGAAATATAAATTAGTACATGTAATTATCAGCAATATTTTTACTGATGTTGACATGATGTTTGTATGGATCTTCGCCTGTGTGTCCCACACATTACTTTCTTTAAAAAAATTTTTAATATTATTTTCCACAAAGAAAGTGTATATATATATAAAATATAATGAAAGAAAATTTTTATTAACACAAAGCACAAAGATAATTTTGTCATATGATTGGCCGTTATTAATATATTGTACATAAAATACGTATGTGAATATACCTAATATATCTATGTATGTTTGAGTAATATTGGATGATCATCAATTTTAAATTTTATTATAGGTACACATGAAAACCCGAAGTTTCCCATTAAAGACTGTGATGCATTTAACAGCATCATTTATATTATTCTATTTTATCCATAATGATGTACCTGTATTGATCATAAATGTACTATTAAACACATTCTGTAATTAATTGTCGATGTTACATGACTTTCTTTTAAAAGAAACAGACAGAATACAATTAGCCTAAACATTGATAAGTAATTACAGAATATAAAGAATATTCGGATTATAATCCGTTTAATTTCAACAAGTCTAAGGGTTAATCATTCCAGCTATCTTAACACTAATACATTTGTTGATATATTGAACATACATCATTCGTAGTTGAAAGTAAGTCTTAAATCAAGATTATTTTAAATAAGAATATATCATGATAATTTTGCAATTTCAATATTAGTATTAAAGAATAATTGGTTGTTCAATATGAAAGTATATGCAAGATGAATATACAATAATTTATAATCTTATTTATAAAAAAACAAGAAAACAAAAACCTTGTTTATTGTACAAATAGATTATATACATGTACTATTTGTGCTTTGTACTACATAGAATGTTAAATCTGCAAAAAAGATTTTATTAATAAAAGATAAAAAATAATTCTTTTGCGACAAAATGTATCAGTTCCGAGGCACTTGTATATAGGGAAAAGAGAAATATTTATTATGGGTATTTCAAAAGTGGAAGTCAATCGCTTGAAAAGTGATTGGGGACCCAAAAACAAGGAAAAAATTGATGTGAACTGAACATGATCACAGCATGGGGATATAGCCCACTTAACATTGATAGAGAGACATTGATAGATCAAGATTTCACAATTATGTTTGATCTCACAATCCTGAGTTAAAGCAGCCCGCAATTTTTATTTAATTTTAATTATGTTATAAAACTCATAAAGACTATTTCTTCTTTCAATTTTGACAAAAAAATTCGAAAGCAAAGCAATATCAAATTTCAATATAAAAATAGCGATATTTCAAAAATAATGCATTTATGAACCTATGTTCATAACAATTTTCTTTCTTATTTTTTCAATCCCCATTTATCTCTCGATTGATTTCGACTTACGGAATGCCCTGTATATTTACATTATTCTATGATGTTAATTGGACGAAGACCATTTAATATGTATTATAAAGATATGAATTAAAAAAAACAGAACGATCTATTTCTTTACTTCTGCGCATGAAAGTCCAAATGTATATGTAAGAATATGTATTATTTTTTTAAATTTTTATAGGATACTCTTTCAAAAGAAATAAAATTAAGATTAAGTGTCCTAAAAAATGATTTTCTAAAATTTTACATTGCTGCATGTTTTTATTTTACTTGTTCTATTTCCACATCGGTGTTTTATTGCTTTTTTGCATTTGTTGCAGAAACAATCTTAAAATACCTTGAAATTTTAATATATAAATTCAATATAATACAATTAAATATTATATTAAATATAATGATAAAAGAAATCATTTTACTATCATTATACGATTTTGCTTATAATATTGCAAAATGAAAGAAAATAATAAACCATTGATTGAAATATATTAAATATCGATATATTATGATGATTTAAATAGATTTAATTATTTCATTATTAATTTTATATAATGCATTTTCATATTAAAATTATTAACATAAACATGTTATATAATATGAAATATAATCGTCATGCTCAATTAGCTGTATATTTTGTGTTCATATTTGCTAATACATATTTTACAATGTTGTAAGGAAACTTATTATTATGTTTAAATATTCCAATTTAACATTACAATAGCAACAGTAAAACGATTAATTTTGATAAAAATTGTTTTATACTAAAAATTTATTTTATAGTGCTACTTGTCATTAACACAAGTGACACTGAAATTATTTTATAATAAATGATTACTGTCAAAAAGAATATAAGATTTTTCTTAATGTAATACATATCTTAATAATAGGATTTAATAAATGTAGTTTGTATTTGGGATTGATTAATCACAAAATTATTCGGAAATAAATGGACAGTTCAATGAATCACAAAATTACATAAAAAGGCATTTAATTTATGACAAAATAGCTGATCAAACATAAAATTGCAAAGATAGATATAATGACGTAGATGTGTGATATATATATATCTGAATATCTGAATCTAAATACTGTCATAAAACTCTCCTAAAGAATCTTAAAGTTTGATTGATACCTCGTTACATTAACAGTGAACACTTAAAAGGCACAATCAATGTCAACAGTACAAAAGTATCAAAATTAAATAGACAGATATTTCCCTTTTCTTTTATAAAAAAACTACTATAACATACGCATTTGCGAACTTTAATGACCATTCTGTAATACAGTTGTCAAAGTCATTTTATCTTCAGTCAAAGCTGTATCAAAATTGATTATTTTTATATAACTGCATAAATGCGCCTCATAGAGGTAGAAGTTTTCTAGACAAGTGACTTAATTAATCATATGAATTAATTATATAATCAGTCTCTAATTACAGTCTACTATGTTAAACATAAAAATTCGTTTTATTGTTACATCATGACTTGATATTTCAGATGTGCGAATAATGACGAGTGAGAAATGTTACTGCAAAGTAAGCCACTGGTAATTTTTTAGTACAAAAATTATAATAAATCAAATGTTTTAATTAAGAAATTTTATCTGTCGGCTTTATACTAATCATTAAATTTACTTAAACCTAAATTTATGGTTTGTACGCAAAATATGACCATTTTTTGCATGATAAGATCTAATATATAATATACGAAGAAAACAACGAAGAAAAATAATTATTAATGTGTTACAACTGTCATAAAATTCACTCATACATTGGAGATATCAAACTGTTACACTATAAAAGGTTGTGATAAAAATAACTATATAAAATAAAATATAGCAATATTATATTAAACTATATGAACATATATATATATAT